AACTTGTTTTTCCTATGATAAATCACGCATGCAACCAGCCCGTTCGCGGGATATGAACTTCGGAACGAACTACCAGTGTTCAGCGACTTTACAGCTCGGTCGCTGGAGGGCCAAAATTTTCTTGAAACAAAAAGTGAAATTCTTTGAAATTAAAATAACTCTATGATATATTCAGTACTCGTATAATTTAATTGAAATTTGTGACAAAATACATTATTTTATAAAAATGACTTAATTACTCAGGAAATGACGTTTGTTAATCAGCAGAATTAAAACAATATCTTTAATTCTGTTCGTTTATATATACAATTTCTCATATGTTGTATAAGTATTGTTAACAATACTGCTTATCTCTGATAGAGAAAGGCAATGGTTTTATCCAATAAAAGGTGAATTATTCTTTTTATAAAATTTGGTTTATACTTAACATTAACTTTAAGTTTAGACAATGCTTTGCGGTGTACTTTCCACTCATTTTCCAATTAATACTTAAAAGTAATAATATTTGAAATCTTATCTTTGTGCTTCTTGTTCCTATTCTTTCTAATACGAGAAATCTCATTCAGATGTAAAAGATATATTATACTTCAAAATTAGTTCAAGCGTAAAAATAGCAAAATTTATATAAATAATTAAACTATTTTCAAAATGCAGTTACAGTTTTAATTCGTACATTTCATAAAGAACTTAAAAGGAGAAGAAATCTATCCTAGCGCACTGCATGCAACCAGAGAAGTTATTATTAGAATGAATAAATTACCTTTACTGCCCTTTTCCGAATTAATTATTCCCTCAGGGCATATCAAGTTATCAAATGATGCAACTTTAGTGGCATTTAAATGTCGAGAGGCAAACATTTCACTTTTCAGATTTAATCATGAATAGCCTTAAAGCAATTTTGATATTCCAGAATTTCAAGTAACTTCAATTATTGCTCCATTGGACCTTAAAATGTAAATTTTCTTTCTTGGAAACTTGCCAACACTGAGGAAATAATCTTGAAATATTCTTAGTTTTAAATATCTTGTGTGTTTCTTGTTTGTTTAAACAAATTTAGAATCGTACATCTTATTCATTTTCGATTTAATAGTTGCTACAATAATTACCATGGTAAATGGTTTACCCAAATGGCAGTATTATGCTTAACGAAAATGACTTAAAAAAGAATGCTTGTTTATGAGTGAAAAATCAGAGGAATAAAATGTGTAATAATTCAGCTCTTCTAATGCGCATATTCTTAAACAAGTAGAATCAAGTTTAATTATTAAAAAGGACTGTCTTGCATTCAATTAAATCAATAACTACTTTAAACAATATATAAAATATTTAATTTTCCACTGTGATGATCATTTGTCAAAACTTTTGTATTTTACTGATCAAATTTAAATCTGAAGTTCTATTTAAAATAACATGAAATATATTATGCATATGACAACGCTAGTTCCTCTTAATTTTCAACATTAATTTTACTACGCATTTTAATTTTATTTATTAAAATTATTTATAGTTTTGTACTGATGTGGAGTTTTATTGTTTGTATATTTATAGTATTTATAGTTTTATACTGTACATAGTGGTTGGATATATATCAGTTCCTACATATGGATATTAAAAATGTACTTTCAAACAATAGGTTTTAAAATGAGGAAGCTAATTTCATGAAAACACTTTTAACAGTAATCAGAGTTTTTGAGAATGTTCTGTAATTGTAAAATTACAGTTTAAAAGTTCCCTGTAGTGAAAAAGAATTCGGATTAGCAGAATACCCGTTATATAATTTGCGGCGGACCATACAGAGATGAGAAAAATTGTTTGAGCGTTCGCCGAAAGTCACTGTTTCCAAGCTCTTACGATGTGTCACACGACATGGTTCTGACATCGCAGACGCAATAATTCGTTCTAGTTGACAGTACAGGAGAAATAACTTCACGACCAGTGTTATGGGATTTTAGCGTTCTGCACTGTGCCTGTCGTCAAAGGCCCTCGATTTCAGGACGGCTGACGAACCAGTATTCTTGTTTTTCCTCTCATATCGTTCCAGATATAAAGAATCAGAGAATATAAAATACCACTGAAACAAATGAAACACAAATGAAACATATTACAGTTCTGAAACTTCCCACAAAAGTACTCGGACAGCTCTTCCCAATACGACAGAGTACAATCAGTATTTATCAACGGTATTTACCACTCCAAACTACTTGAGAACTGACCAGTACCAATATCATTATTGAATTATCGCGCGAAAGTTTTTCCCCGGCTTAAATAGTTTTCCCCCCAGCCGGCAAGAAATTTCTAGTACCTTCATCTCTGGAACTGCTTGAAGTCAGAAAATACTGGAAGGTATATACAGTTGCAGTTACATATAAGGGTTACAGTTACGTATGCATTTAGGCCAATTGCAGTTAGACAGCTATCGAACAAAAATGGCACCAAATGATTGCTAAGCTTAGAATCATTCTCACCAAATTTACCGAAAAAACTTAATCTTCATCGCCACCTTCGCGATATCTCGTGAATTTAGCTAGACAGACATTTACCTCGACTTTAAATAGACTTGTCTCTGCAATCTTATTTTACTCACAAAATATCGCATTTCTAAAGGGCGTTCGTGTCACATTATATAAAATTCGTAATAATGCTTTGAAACTTATTTTGAGTTCATTACCTCACGTGATAAGCTTTGTCATCGAAAATACGTCTAAGATCGTTATATAGAGAAATGATGCATCTTGCGTGTCGTGGATACCTCCACCTATCTATTAACAGCCTTTAGTTTCTAAAAACGAATATTTAGAAGAATATATTACTTAATTTTTCTAGTTCTTTCTTCGATTTAGATATTTTCGGCGAGAACAATATCGCCTAGTTAAAAAAAAAATCTCATTCCGCATTACGAGGTAACATATATAAGAACAGAGAACTCTAATATAGTTAAAGCATATCAAGGATTTCCGTTTCTACAAAGGAGAATATTGAATTAAACAAAATTTCGTGCATTTTTCTTGTTATATATACTTGCAAATGCACAGTTGCCATTGCTCGCTTTGAAATCACCAAGTTCGTTAAACAAAAAGTTCTTATAGTTTTACAGAATATCAAATACACAATAAAACAAATTCGAAATTAAAAATTCGGGCTTTCGGGTAACTATATTCCGGTGGAGGACTGCGTTATTCAAAATTTGATGGCTCTATATACCGTTATTTTTCCACAATACGAAAAACATGCATACATTTATGCAAATTCTTCATTACTTAATTTCTTTAAATAGAATACAGGGCGAATATTTGGTGGCAACAATTTGAAAAGTTATTCAGACTTTTAAAGTAATTCAAAGTAAAATCCCGTTATGAGATTTATAGCCCTAACGCTCGTTTGGGCTAAAAATAAAAATATCCCCATAAAAATTAAAAGAGCATAAGTTCTCCAAATAGTAAGTAAAATAAGAAAACTTTAAATTATAAATTAAATAAGATATTCAATAACAAGAAAATTAAGAACAAAACTGCAAAATAATTTAACCCTACCATGCGCAAATTGTGGAGAGAATTTAGTGACTACCTAATCAAGTAAAAATGTTTTTTCAATGTTGTTTAATGCAACTTAGATTATATAAATAACACTTTTGTGGTTAAATGAGTTAAAGAAATAGTATGTCCGAGGAATTTGAACTAGTTTCAACGGAAGAAGATAAAAAGAGTTGGAATGTAAAATAAGTTTTTAATTCAATCATGTAAGTAAAATTAAATCATGCGGGAAATCGGATTAAAGCTTTTAATTAGAAACATGATAATAAAATAATTGTTAAATATTTTATTCAAAATTATCACGAAACTGTAAGATTTATAACAAAATACTTGACTGCTGTGATTAAAATTAGATCTACACCGTTTTATATGTGTAGGAATAGTCATTTATGCAAAACAACAGTTTAATTGTTTAATTTAGATTCACAAGCGTAATTTAACTGTTTACTTTTTAATACAATTATACAAAAGAAGCTATTTCTCTCGTCTTCTTAAAATTCCCTCTTGATGTAATTGTCAGCACACTCGGAGCGTATTCTAGAGATCCGTGGTTCGAGTCTCGGCGAGGGCATCGCTCATTTTTCATGTCTCTCAGTATCAAAAATCCTAATGTCTCTACAGTGTCGCCCGAACTAAAGAAAGGTAGTGAATGATGATTCTCCACCACCATTATTTGGCGAACCAATCGCCCTTTAAAAGAGGAAGTATATAAGCTATCTCTCCCGCCTTTAGCATGCCTTCGCGGTGTAGTGGTCAGAATATTCGGTGCGTATTCGAGAGTTACGAGGTTCGAGTCCCCGTGAGGACATTGCTCATTGACTGCCAAACGAAAGGTCCGACATCGAGTCCATCGGAAGGCATGGCAGTTTGTAAATGTACAGTGTCTGTACGGCAAGGGACACTCTAAATATGCGGCGAACGGAAAGTCCTCTTGAGAAGTTTGTGATAACGGAAGAGGGGTGGGAGGCCCTCGGACCCGTTTTGCCCCGGGGTGTTATCCATCAGAATTTGGGGTGGAACTGAGCAAAGTCGTACTGTTACCTGTATAGTGCTTAAAGTTCTTGCCAACGACAGACGCAATCTTGCACTCCTTGCCACGATGAATTTAGTGGGCTTGTTCTGATGTTACTATCAGACAAGCGACGTAAGTCACAATAGCAAAAACATAAGATTTTACGCTGCATTTGGAAATTTATTTCAGATTTTCTAATCAAAATTACATGCTCTGGAAAGAAATTCAGTTGTTGCGATCTACTCTGATACGTTATTATCGTTTTTGACATGCATTAAAATTCATAATTGCATGCATTTGTTCGCGTTATTAATAAATTAGAAGGTAAAAAAGTAATTTAAAGATAAAATGTGTCTGATTACAAAAGGGCGATTTTTATTTAATTCTGCCAGCTATTTATCTAATGATCTTTTTTTTTTTTTTTTTTTTTTCCTAAATGCTGATTTTATAATTTGCTTCCTAGCCTTCTCCTTTCACATGGGATATTAATGAAGAGTTCTGATTTTAGAACATGATGCCTTCTCTGAACAAAGGATGTAACGAAGAATTCCAAAATAGACATTGGGAATAAATAAATTCCTTTGAAAAGTAAGCGATATTTCCAATGTTATTCTGTTCTTCACATCAATTCTAGCTGAAATTTAGTGAGTACTGAAAAATGCATTCTGTTATTAACTGTACTCTCTGTTTATACTGTAACATTTTCAAATTTGCATACAAATTCTACTATTTTTATCACGCTTGAATGATAATAATTGTACATTTTTGGTTAAAACTTTCAAAAATGATGTTAGTGTATCTCTGAATTGAATTACAACTTAACAGTAATATTTAATATTTTAAAAATAGATCATTAAGTATTTCATCTGAAAAATTAGTGCAATTTTCTAATTCGCACAAAATAAATAAATCTTGCTATCGGCTACTCAATTCTAATGAAATAAAATTAAGATAAAATTAGGAATTATATTGCTTTGAGAATGATTTTTAACAGTGATAATACTGTATCCAAAAATAATAGATATCTAGAATTATTTAAACTGATTCAAATTTTATTTAAATTTTAATAACTGGCAATATTTACAACCCAATTTCTAAAATAAGCTTCTGTAGAAAGGAGGAAAGGAATGATACTGCATTACGGAAGATTTAATAATAATATTTTCTTTTTAAACAAAGCAGAATTCAAACGAAACGAGGAATTTCATCCTTTTGTCTATTTAAAAATTTGAAATGGGAGAAAATAAATTATATGCTTTCTACTTAATTATGTGCTGTTTCTGCAAAACGATTTAGCAGATATTTCAACTAAATAACAAATTTATGGATTTTCTGAATATTAAAGCAGTTTATTTTAAGTGCAATTATTTTTTATAATTATTTAGTGACTCTGTAAAATATTACTCCTAAACCTACAACTCCTGTATTGTTAAATCTAATAAAAAATCTCGACGACTCCTTTTATTTCAATAATGTATGATATTCAGATAATCGGATTTTTACTTTTAATCAGATAACTAATTTACTTTTAAATTTTAATCTGAGAATTCTTTTCACAACGGTGATAAAGATAGTTTTAGAGTACCTGCATGAACGATTAAGTAGAATACTTCTAAAATAGCTACATAAACAGTGTTTATTTGTCAAGAAAAATTACTCTCAAACATTGTAAACTGCTTTTAACAACGTAAGGTATATATTTTTAAAATGTAGGAAGAACATATTTTAAGTTTCTAAATTTCACATATTTTGTATGCTATTAATCCTTTCATATTATTATTTAATCATTAAAAATTATCTTGTTTAACTTTTCTAACATGAGTTGTTCTCGAGATTTTTCGCTATATTGAATCAATAAAATTCTTTTCAAGAGCTATTCTTCAGCATTTGCATAAAGCGTAGAATTGCTAGTTGATTACAAATTCAAACACGAGTGATTTTGACATTAAGAATGCGCATAATATTTTATTAAATCAATAAACTGCAAAGCTGAGCTGGCTGAAGATGGAAACCTTCTCCAAAGTACAATTTACGAAATCTTAGATTAACGTAGGTCTGCTGATGCACATTTTTCATCTTCAAGTACACATAGACACCCCTGTGGGGCACAAACTGCCTGCTTTTATAAAGCTAGTCATTACTTTAGCTTGCTGTACTTACATAGACGAGAAGGTAGAGCTGTAAGAATGCAAATAAAGCAGATACATACCCATTTTTATGAAGGTGCCCTAGGCATAAAAGCATCTTTAGCAATCAGCGGTACCGCCTCTTTCCCCGAAAGAGAGGAAGGGAGAGAAGTTTGAAGAAATCCTTCTAACTTTCCCATCCTCTGCCTTGACGAGCCCAGATCGAAGAATCCACCGAAAGTGCCCTAAATGAGATGAAGAAGTGAAGGAATTTTTTTCCCGTGTTTTGTCCTCGGGGAAGCAGAAATATACGAGGAGTAAGTTTGAAGTTGGTGTATTTTCTGCATAGTTATGCAAAATTTATGGAGTGGATTTCTCTTTCACTGGTGCAGTTATCTAACTGATGAAAATGATTCTCTTACAATGAATAAAGGAAGTTGTTTGATTTACAGAATCAACTTTTAGAACTATGTTAATAAAATAAAACATTTCAGTAAAGTGTTAATGTCAGGATTTTTAAGCATTAAAAATTTGATTCTGTAAAGCTATTTTTGAATCATTAAAACAGTGCACTGATGCAGCTCAAAAAAAAAGTACAAACATATTTTATGTAACCGTCAAATCGAACCAATTTATTCCAATTTAATTGTATTAAAAGTTATCTTATGCACTTGAAAGATTATTTAAAACACGAATGTATGTACAATTACTTTGTTTAACCATAATAATAATAATTTATTGAGTGCATGTAGTTAATTTTAGAAAACCAATTGCATATATTTACAGAGCAACGCCGTAATAATTTATTTGGGATTAAATTTCAAAAAATATATTAAGGCTAGTTATGGTATCCAGTAGTAAGTAATGCTAATAGTAAGTAGAGATATCGAACAGTAAATAAAGATTATTTTGCTCGAGCTAGAAGGGAATGGAACCAGTATGAACTTCTGGATAATATATGGGACTTTTTTTAGTGTTTACTGCTGGAAATAAAATGTATCACATCGTTAATTAATGTATGTAATATAGCATATTTGCATATTTACTTTACATAACATTTGCTAAATTGCTTATTTAAACTGAAATGAAGCATTTAATAATATGAGTTTCTTTCATCCAGAGCTAGTTAGACAATTATAAAAGTGTGTACATACAAAAATAAAAATAGCAGAAAAGCATAAATATGAGAAAAAGAAGTAAAATTTACAAAAACATGGAAGAACTGTAATCGTAAAATACAAGACAAAATGTAATATTTAGGGAGAAACTTTGATTGTAAAGTACAAGATAAAATATAATGTTTAGGATGCATATATGTAATTTTGAGATAAATACCAATAATACATAACCATAAAAGCATCACAAATTTCTCTTGTTAAAAAAGTGAAATTTATTGCAAATTGAAGTTAGTGTAATTAATATATCATTGAACATGGATCCTTGACTATCATCGTAAATGACATAATGACTTTTAAATATTTAAAAATATATATTTACTACGAAAAACGTTATTAATGGAAAAAGTTGATTAGAAAAAAATAATAGGAAAGAGTGGCTCTTAAACTGTTTGATTCCAAGTAAATCCCCCCCCCCCAGGTACCGTAAGAAAATTTCGGATAAGAAGTGTCTATCTGGATATGAGAATTACTGATTCATTAGATTATTCCGTGTTAGTGTCTTATAGAAGAGCCATAAAAATAAACTCATTTATAAATGTTCGTAATATTTTCATGTTTTAACCAAGTAAGAGATTACATGCATTCCCCTTGTGTAGTTCCTTTTCAGTTGTTGTTGTTGTCTTGTCCATTGTACATGGAACAGTGGTTTCCAGAGCCTACTCCAAAGAGAGGTTGGTTCTTTTCAGTTTCGAATTTTGAAAGAAATATTCATGCCACCCATCGTGCTTAATGCAGAATTTCTAATGCTGTTGAAAGAATACGATTTTCACAGCAGTTCAGCTGAATATATTTTATATGTGGAAATATTTGTTAGAATTCAAAATTCGAAACCATGAATTTTGAAGTTACAGTAGTTCAAAACAGCGATGGGAGGAAAGGTATTTAAGATCCGAGACCGATACAATGTATTCATTTTAAAACAGGTACAAAACAAAATCATTATTTCATTCTCCTACTTTCAACTGTTCGATTTTATTGTTTAGTTCTGTCTATTGTTACTGTTGTTTTATAACAACGTACTTTCATCATATCTATGCTTTTTCTCTAAAGTAACTGTAACAATGCACGTAACTGAACAATAAAGTCAAGTTATAGAAATATAAAACTCAAATAATAACTTTGTTTCGTACCTGTTTTAAAATGAATTCCTGTCATGAAACTAGTACGTAGAATTTATGTCATTGTCAAGAAAAGCAGTGAAGCACTCTTTCTTGTTATGTTTTAAATAAAGAAATCTCTCCAGAATGAAAAACATTTCAATATATTTATGCAAAGCTATTATATTTCATTTATGTAAGTTTAATGAAATACACAATTCTTTGATGGTCGATGGCTTACATTCTTTACTTTTAATGCCAATGAAAGTGCCTAATTAGTGAATAAAATTATTTTAAGTAAAATATTATTTCGGAAAGCTTTTATAATTGGAAAATAATGTTTTGTAAATATGCTACAATTAAGCACGGATCTTCATATTTCAATCTTTCTGTAGATGAATAAACTGAAAATCGAGAGAAATGGCATTTAGTCAGGCAAAACATAAATTCAAGGGAATCTGTAGTAAAATATTTCCTTTCTGAACGGTACGCCTACAAATATTTTATTTCTATTTTTCACTCTCATTACAAAGTCTAGCTTTTATTTAGTGAGGGGAAAAATAAAATTACATTTCAATTTAGTTCTTCATGTATTCAAAATGTTGTACATTTGTATTGTTGCGTGCGTACGGGTTCGTTATGAAATGAATGCACAAGTCCGATGAAAAATGAACAAAAATTTATTATTATCACAACAAAAATGCTTAAATTTTTTCAAATTATCATGCAGTATTACAATATCTCACAGTAGTTTTCTTTTAACTACTCAAATGTCAATAGAACGTAATTCAAAACAGCTAAAGAACGCTAATCCGCGAATTCGCTACAATCAACAACAGTAGTTTTCTAAACAACAACAACTAAGCAACTACTACTACAAACTGAGATGTTTTCCTCCTTTTATAAGATTTTAAAATCACGCGCTAGAATTTTCCAGTACTTTCTCGAAATCAAAAAGAGATATTTATTTATTTAATGCACGCGCTCTTGTATTTTCAATTTTCCGGCTTAGCTTTCTTTTAATATTCGTCACGCGCTGCACTGCGCGAGAAATAAAACCATTTAATTTCTAATTGAACTAACATTAGCTTTTTAAATACCAAATTCGTAACACTGCCCCCTTCCCAAGGACTGCACGTCCCGGGCAGTACAATCCCTGGACAGGAAGCAAAACTTACAACTGTGGC